ATTTTCCCTCTCCACCAACAAGGCAAAGAAAAAGTGTGTTTAAATGTTAAATCTTTAGTGCTTGTTGAATGAAAAAAATCTCCTGCAACCAATTTATAACAGGTTTCCTGATATGACTCAAAAAGTAGTGGGTGAGTCAAGGTTTCTCAATGGAAAACCAGACTGACATGGTCAATGAACCTATTATTTATTACCCAATGTACTGAGCTGTTATTAAACAGTATGCAAAGAGAAGGGAAGTACAGCTATTTATATCTTTGAAATGGAGACTGAGTTTACATCTCCAATATAAAAGATCTGAATTTGTAGTATGCAGTAGCGGTCTATTAAACCTCACTGAATAAACAAAAATTTTGCCTATTTTCTCTTTCCCCTGAAGTGTTTAAGGCCATGGCAGGCAGAGTAATAGTGCCCCCCAAATACCCATTTCCCAATCCTGGAAAGCTGTGAATGTATTAGTATGCATAGCAAGAGAGAAATATGGTTGCAGATGGAATTAAGATTACTAATTAGTTGACCTTAAAATAGGGAGATTCCTATTCTGGATTATCAGGGCCCTTTAAATGTGAAAGAGGGAACAAAGTTAGAGAAGGATATGTCACAAATGATGGAAGCAGGGTCAGTGATGCAACAGCTTAACCTGCCTTTGCTGGCTTTGAAGATGGAAGAAAGGAGCCATGAGCCAACAAATAAGGGCAGCTTTTTCTAGGAGCTAGAAAAGTCAAAATAATGGCTTGTCCCCTACAGTATTCCAATAGCTCTGCCAACACCTTGATTTTAGCCCAGTGAGATCCATGTCAAACTTTTAATTTACACAATCATAAGACAATAAATCTGTGTTATGTCACTAAGTTTATGGTAATTTGTAATAGTAGCAATAAAAACACTAATACAAATGCCTTTTTCGTTGTTGTTGTTAAAGAACTCCTTTAGAGTCCTTGAGTCAAAATGGAGATACCCTGGGACACTGCAAAATCAGGTTTAATGATCTCTAATGAAATGAGAAAACAGTCCATTCTACAAAACTTAAAGTTTAGAAAGAAAAATGCCACTAGTAGAAGGAGGTTCTACTTCTAGAGTGGCTGAGTAGATATTATCAGGCCAAACCACTAACAACTATAAACACTGGGCAAATTATTTTTAAAAAACCAAAACACTTTCTGAAGGCACTGGAAAACAACCAAATGCAGGAAGACACCAAAGGGAGTCTATACTTAGAAGAAGCCAATGAAGGTTTTTTTGCTTTACACTCTATATCTTTTAGCCTAAAAGCAGGCCCACAGGCCTGTGCTGGGCAACTAAAACCAAAAGAGAAAACCTGCAGTCTTAATGACTTGAAGAACCACAGAACGGTATGGGACAACAGGCATGGGAAAGTGCGAAATCCCAGAAAAGTAAGCCAGAGAGAAGCCCCAAATTCCGCTGGCTGACCCCAAGGCCTGCATGCACATGGGGCCAACTCCAGGCAGCCCAGCTAAAAGAACTGAACCAGTATTTGAGGTGCTGCCTACAAGGGAGCTGGATTATAGTTCAAGTTCAATTGAGTTAACAGCCTGCACAACAAACACTTATGGAGAAATTAGAAAAATTGAGAGTCTCTATGATTTATTGTTCACAATGTCCAGGATACAATTCAAAATTACTCAACAGCCCATTTTTAAAAGAGAAGGCAGTAAATGGAGATTACCACACAACAATTTCAAAACTGCTACACCCGTGTTTGAAAAAAAAAAACACTTCAATGAACAAAAAAATCGAATAGACACTATAAAAAAGAACCAAATGAAAATTCTGAAATTGAAAAAAAATTTCTAAAACTGAAAATACAATCCTTGAAAATGCCACTCACTCCTACTGAAGTGGTGGCTTGGAAATGAAGCAGCGATAAGCTCCAAAGTGGTGTCAACAACTCAAAAGCCATGGAAAATTACTGAAGAGAATAAGCCTATTCTGACTATTTACTACTCCATAATTCACATTTTTTAGGCAATTCTTGATAATCAAAGTGTTACTCTACTTTTTACAGAAGACTTCAAGAGATTAAGAAATATGGTTCATGGTCACACAACTATGGTCTTGTAGGCACTTCTAGACAGTACTAAGTTATGGGTATTTTTAAATCAATGATGAACTCAAGTCTGTGGCTGAAGAAATTAATGCAGCAGAAATTGTAACAGAATAAGCAATTTCTTTGAAAATGTAAAGGGTTTCCTTAATGGTTTCTTTTTTAAGAAACAAACTTTATTAAAAGGCACCTCTTTACTCACACATTTCCTAGGTCATTCTGATATTACACTATTTGGAAAAGGACCTGGTTATATAAGTTATAGAACATCCTCACAATGGAATGCTATGCAGCATTAAAAATGACAGTATAGGGGCGTCTGGGTGGCTTGGTCGGTTAAGCGTCCGACTTCAGCTCAGGTCAGGATCTCACGGTCCGTGAGTTCGAGCCCTGCGTCGGGCTCTGTGCTGACAGCTCAGAGCCTGGAGCCTGTTTCGGATTCTGTGTCTCCCTCTCTCTGTTCCTCCCCTGTTCATGCTCTGTCTCTCTCTGTCTCAAAAATAAACAAACATTAAAAAAAAAAATGACAATATAGAAATGTCTACTGGTAAGGAAAGTGGATCAACAATGTTTTTATGGGAAAAAAACAGGCTACATAACAATGTGAACAATACCATCAATTTTTACTGTAAGGTCTCTCAATTCTAGACACAAAAATGTTCACATTTTGGTTATTTCCAGGTTGATGAGACTATGGGTAATTTTTATTTTTTGAGCTTATTCTGTTTGCTGTTCCCAAAATCATGTTTTCCCTACAATGTATTACTTGTGTAATGAAATCAAACATAAATCAAATCATCAGGCTATACATACCCCTTAAACTTACACAGAGATGTGTCAATTATTGTTCAGTAAAACTAGGGAAAAAAAGAAAAACTTACTGATTCATCAAGTCAACAAATATTTATTGTGCACATACTACATGCCAGGTAATATTTGTACAAATAAAAAACTGTTGCAGAAACATAAAATTTGATTGAAATTTCTTCCGCTACCTGAAGATATTCTTCAATTTTCACCTATAGCCCTTTCCCTCAAAACCTGGAGAAAATCTATCTGTACTCTTAATTCTAGCCTTTCTACTAGTAGACAAGGTCTACTTCATCACCTCTCACCTGGGGTTCTGCAAGAGCCTGTTTATCTATTTCATCTCCCTGCCTCTGGCTCCTGGCAAATGTATTCCCTCACTCCATCCAGTCATCTATCCAATACGGGGAAACCTGGCCATGACCCTCTGCTTCTCTAAAATCCTTCACTGACTCCACACTGCTTCTAACATAGAGCCAAATTCTATGGCACGGCATGCAAGGAGCTCCAACACCTGGGCCCTATCCACCTCTTTTATTTCATCTCTGGATTCACCTTACTTCCAACAATGGAGTCCAGCAACATTGCTTGAGGCTTCCTATAGGCACCAAGTTTTTTCTTGCCAACTATCAATAGTTTTTTCTGATGTTGTCCTTTCCATCTAGAATATCTCCTCACCAATGTTAGTATTGCCTGTAGTAAAAATCTTATACCACCTTCAAACCAAATTGACTTTATTCATATCTCTTAACACTGTACGATATTTACCTTAAAGTTTCAACTCCGCAAGAACAGGGACTAAGTCTGTTTATCCGTAATATAGCGAAATAGTACCAACTATTAGATTCAGAATGTGAACATTTAACAGTGCTTGGCACATGAAAAGTAATCACCAAATGTTACTTATCACTATTATCCACGTTGTTCCTGCAGCCCAGCAGTGAAGTCGAACCTCAAATGTTTACTGAACGACTAAACTCTGCAAATTGGAATATTCCTCCCGTTTTACGACCAAGAAAACTAAGTGCAAGAAATTACAGCCCAATGTCACAAAGCTAGAAAAGGCGGTGAAGCCACTATCTAAACTCAGGTCCAATTCTAAAGCCCTATTCAATTCTACTATGCACTATCTCCCACTCTTCTGCTAAAAACTGACTCAACCTCTCTATTTTACTGCTAGGGGAAAAAAAGGCTTCCTTCCAGTAAATGCTGTAAAAATCGCCATTCCTGGAATCACCATTAAGTTAACTTGAATGCGTGTTTCGATTCAACGTCCTTGCCTAAAATAAGAGCATGTACTTGGATCTCAGAAGCCCATTCAAGTTCTAAATCCTTCTGGGTGCAGTTTTTCTGATGGTGTTCTTTCATAGGGTTAATGTGACACGATTATTTATCGAACTTTTCCGATATGCAAAACACAACTGCAGTAAATCAAACACCTTGCCCTAAGGAAACGCTCTTTAAGCTTTCAACCAGCAAGCCAGAGCCTACAATTTCGGAATCCTTGCCAGTGCGCTACTACAGGCCGGCAACAAGGTCACCAGGCTTGATATGCAAGGTAAGGTGCCTCCTTCGTGGGCGGGGGATCTTAGAAACCTATCTGGCCGACGAGGCCAGGCCTACGTTCCGCGCTGGGGCGAAACAGCAACAGATCACCGGCGGCCCCTCCTTCTTCCTCTCCTTGACCACACTAGGCGTAAACTTCCCAGTCCTGTGTGGGGGCCACGCACCCGCAGCAGCTACGTCTGCGACCCTCCCTCGGAGCTCCTCGCCGGCGGTGGAGCTGCAGCGGCCTCCCTGAGACAGGACGAAGGCCGCAGTGTCCTTGCCGCCGCCTGCAGGTCGTCCAGAGCCCAGGGTTCTCGTGTGCCCACCACAAAAGGAGACACCGAAAAATAGGGGAGAGTGGCGGCAGTGCCGGGGCTCATTCCGAACCTCCTTACCCACTGGGCGATGAGGCCTGCCGCCTTGGCCCGGAGCGCCGCGGAGAAGAACATGGCGGACCAAACAGTTGGCCTTTCCCTGCGGCACCAGGCGAGAATCCCGAGCGAGCCTGGGACGCACGGCGTGCGCGCTCCCGAGCCGAGGCCTAGCGAGTCCAGGGCGGCGCGCCCCTCCCTGCTAGGAGGCGGCGGGGGCGCGCGGAGGTGCGCGGGGGCTGCTGGGGCCCAGTGGGCGGAGACTTCCTCGCGGCGGGGCCCGGCGAAGACCAGCCAGGCCCGTAAAAGGCTGGGTGCTGCAGGCCGCCGGTGGGGTCCCGACCTTGAAAGGAAGCGTCAGTGAGCTGTACCTTGGGCCTCTAGGGAATGAAACGCCGATCTGGATTTATGGGGTGAGCTTACCTCCTGGAGAGCTTTATGGGAATTACCACCTCCTTTTTTTATTGTAGTTACTTAAAAAAAAAAAATTCCGTTGCGCCCCCCCCCCCATAAATCATATTTTACAAGTTAAAGGATTGAAGATGGAAAAGACTGCTCCCCAGTGAGCTAGACACCAAATGCCCTGTTTCCCATTCTTTTGATTTAGAGATGTGTGCCGGCATATTTAAGGGTGAAATGATAAATCCGGAATTTGCTTCAGAACAAAGGAGATTCAGAATAATGGACATAGAAATGAAACAGTATTGGCCATGAATAGTGACTGTCGAAGCTGTGGTAGTTCTCATGGCTATTCTCGGTACTTTTGTACATGTTAGAAATCTTCCATAATAATAAAACTTAAAAAAAAAAAAAGGCCACTTCCTTTTTGATGTTTGTTTGGTCATCTTTGGAAATTCCAGGTATTTTTATTCAGCAACAGCCGTAATATGCACAGCGCAATTTCCTGCTGTGTAGCGTTTACCAGGCACTTTACTGCCTCTTGATTTTTCCCTTCACTGCCTTCTTTTCTTGCGTGTCATGTCCTGTAGACCCCTTCGTTTTGCCCATTTTCCCTGCTAAACTTGTGAATGATTTCTGGAACTTTCACAGCAGTATAAGGATTTTAAATATTTATTCTTCATGTGGAAACTCTAGGGGCGCCTGCGTGGCTCAGTTGGTTAAGCCCCTGACTTTGACTCAGGTCAAGATCTCTGGGTTCCCAGTTTGAGCACCAGGAGGAACTCTGTGCTGACAGGTCAGAGCCTGGAACCTGCTTCGGATTCTGTGTCCCCCTCTCTCTCTGCCCCTTTCCTGCTCACACTCCTCTCTCTCTCTCTCCAAATAAATAAACATTAAAAATTTTTTTAAATAAAATATTGCATTATAACCACTTATGAGTCATATTGTACAAATTATGAAATGTAAGTCACAAGAAGGCTGACAGCCAGTGAGCTAGAAGTGCTTTGGTTCCCATTTCATTGCTTACCTTTTATATTAGCTTGCTTCTCCTAAACTGGTTCAGTATTTACCTCTCAAAAGGAAAAATATTCTGGATCTCCATGTTGATTTAAATTATTGTATCACAGGGGCACTTTGCTGGTTCAATCAGGGGAGCACGTGACTCTTGATCATGAGTTTGGGCCCCATAGTGGATGTAGGGATTACTAAAAAATAAACTTAAAACTAAAAAATTTGTTTAAAAAATTAAATTATGGTATTATAAATTTACCTATATGTATGTACGTGACACTACTATGCACATAAGCTGTTCTTGTAGGCCTCATACAACTAAAACCAAAATATATCACAAATTAAATACATAACAAACTTATTACAAATGGATGATACTAGTAAGACATGGAGTCTGAATCTGGTATACATGCTTTCTCTTGATTCCATTAGGGCCTTCTCTGACCCTAGGTTAAGTCTCCATGATACCTTCCTTATAGATGCCTGCCTCCATTTTCATTATCACATTTACCACCAGATTATAATCTCCATAGATGTAGAAACCTGCCCTTCCCAACTTGTTTGATTCGACAGCTTTCACTGATATGTGGAAGGCATTCAATACTTGGAAACTGAATGAAAATGTTGCACATAGTACAAATATTTGGACTCTGAAGGGGTTGTATGTCTCTGGTTGGATTATGCTTTTATAAACATGTGTATCTGTGAGAGCGCTTTTGGATACGAGTAACAGGAAACCTAACTGAAGGAAATTAAACAGTAATGAGTTCATTATGTCACATGAAAATAATTCCAAAGGTAGAACAGTTCCAAGATTAGGTAATTCAGTTACTCGAGGATGTCCTTAAAAACTTGAGAGCCTTCCCATCTTTCTACTCAACCATACTGGAGCTGTGACTCCTGTTATGGTCACAAGGTGGCAGTTCCAAGTATCATGTGCAGATTACAACCTTCCCAGGAAGAAAAAGAACTCTTTCCTTTCAGGGGTCTCAGATGTTCCTCCAGCAGACTTCTTTTATCTCATTGGCATACCCATCCATCATGGAGTTAAGAGAACAGGCTCTAGAATGAGACTGCTGGTTCAGACCCTATCTCTACTGCTTTCTAGCTGTGTGACTTTGGGCAAGTGAGTCTCTCCAGTGTTCTGTTTAGTAATAGTACCGTCCTCATTGCTTTATGCTGGGAATAAAATGAGTTAATAACTAAGAAATTCTTTTTAAAGTACTGAGCATGAAGTAAGTGCTCAGTAAATGTTAGCTTGGATGTCTTCCGTAATGGAATAACATCTGTGGAGTTCACAGTTCACAGAGAAGGTCTAATTGGCGTCTAATAGTCCTAGCAAGGACTTAGCAGATATCCCTAATTTCTGTTACCTACAGGCCAAGAGTGCAAAGAGTAATGTTTAAAACATTAGGGATCAGAGCTAAAGGAGTTAGTCTAGCCTGTTAACACTTCCTTGAAGATGATACAGAAAGTAAATGCTTTCAACAGTCATTCCACTGCCAGTAAGTGTAATACCGCTTTGTTCAACCATCCAAAAGGTCTGTTAATGTCCAGCATGATTTTGGCTTATCCTTAACCCAAGTAATTCTCAAGTGAAAACATTAGGATTAATCTTCTTCACACCTGGTAATGTGAGTTCATTTCTAGAGCCACCCCACTCATAAAGTAATCTAATGCACAACTATTCTTCCCAGAGTCTTTAGGATAGAATTGTGGGGGCTCTTTGAAAAATCGCTACTCTCAAAGCCATCGTTTCTAGGCACAGACCAACATGGATGCCAGTGATGTTAAATGTTAGTTATCTAACCCCATAGGCTTGATTGAAATTGGCTTGATTACATACTGTAATGAATATTATGGCTGCCTGGTTAGACATATCCCATGATTCTAAGTTAGTGCTACTACCTTAAGCCCAGGGAAGTTGGCCCTAACTATAGTGATCAACCATTTGAGTAAAAACTGTGTGTGGGTTTGGGGTGGGGAGGTGGTGGGTAAGGGGAAATGAGGGACTGGGAGCTAGGAGAACTGGGATAAAGTTGAGGGGAATGACCAAAAGTGGGAACTTGTGTTCTGCCATTTCTATGATTTCTTCTCCATTTAAACCAACATAAACAGGCTCTAGTGAGGACATAGTATGATGAAAACCATGAGCTTTGTAGTCAGAGGGACTTAGGATTGCAATTCTGACTTCATCTCTTACTAGATTCTGCGAAGCTTTGGTCCTCAATTTCTTCAAGGATAATTAGAACATTAAATCATTCTCTTAGGTCACATCATACTTATTAAAGCAGCCTCAGGCACTTTATAGTATGTTCTGCCTCCCACATGGCCTACTCTAACCATATTGACTGGCCTCAGGTTTTCTAACATAACATGAAGCGTAGGTCCAGTCTTGTTTTGAGGGAAGAAGAGGGACTGAGTCAAAACTCAAAGGAAGGAGGAAAAAGAGATAAGGCTATTGCTGGATGAATAAGAAAGAGTTTTCAAGAGAGAAAGGAATAAAGGTCCTTCAAGTAGGAAATTTGAGGGTGCAAAAAGTGTGATATAGTCACATTCGTACACTGAAGTGTTAGACCTGCTTCATGCTGTTGCACTGTGAGGTGAGGGGGGATATTAGAATAATGAACAACTTCTTCATGATCTTTCCAAATTCTTCTCAAGTTAATCTGGGATATGTGGGACCAAAAGGGAAAATGAAAATCAAAACAGCCACTAACTTAGCTATACAAACCTCAAGAATAGACTGTCTAAAAAAATAATAAGCAGAATGTCACCTAAACCATTACCAGATTCAAGTCGCTTGTTACTAAGGAAATTTATCCTAAGGAAATAACTAGGAAAGTCCACAAAGTTGTACAAACAGATATGTTCATCACAGCGTTATTCATAATACTGAAATCTTGGAAGCCATGTAAATGATCATCATCAACAGAATTGATTAAACAAATTACAGTACAACCATACAATGGGATGTCGCTCTACAAATTTAAAAGTAATAACAAAGATCAGTATTTATTTTAAAGGAAAGATGCCCATGATGTGTTAAGTTTAATTTTTTAAATTTTTTAAATTTTACAAAACATCATGTATAACATGACCACACTTTTTGTATGTGCATAGAAAAAAATATGGGAAAGTTACATATCAAAATGGTAACAAGAGGGGACACCTGGGTGGCTCAGTCAGTTAAGTGTCCAACTCTTAATCTTAGCTCAGATCTGGATCTTGGTGTCATGAGTTCAAGCCCCGCGCTGGGCTCTGTACTGGGCATGAAGTCTGCTTAAAAAAAAAAAAAAAAAAGTTAATAGGGGCTCCTGGGTGGCTCAGTTGCTTGACCATTCAACTTTGGCTCAGGTCAAGATCTCACAGTTCGAGGGTTGGAGCCCCCTGTCAGGCTTTCTGCTGAGCCTCCTTAGAATCCTCTATCCCCCGCCCTTCTCAGCCCCTCCCCCCACTTGTCCTCTCTCTCTCTCTCCTCTCTCTCAAAAATAAATAAACAAAAAAAATGTTAATAAGAGTTCTCTCTGGGTGTTGAAATATAAGGTAATTTTAATTTTTTAGACCTTTTGTATTACCAATTTATTTCAATTAACGTGTTATTTTTATTGCAAGAAAATAAAGCTGTGTTCATTTTTAGAAACAGGGTAATAAAGGAAATATAAATGAAAAAATTGATAACTCTCTTTTATACTCACTTCTTTTTAGTGAGTTGGTCTACTCTTCAGAGTAGAATTCCTTATACTGCTATTAATTCAAGTTTTAATTTAGGGCATCAATGAGTGTGGACTGGGAAGAGGGAGATGAGCCAGTTCTTAGGATCTTTGGGCAGTTTTAATTTTAGGCAGAAGAAACGGCTCTGGACTCTTTCCCACAAAGCTGTTCCTTAAAATTCCTGTGCAAATCTGAACTCATTTCTTCCTTGACCAGTCACAAAAAGATTCATATAAAATTTCTTTAAATAGCCAATTCTCCTTGCTCATATAAAATACTCCTTGACTAA